TCACAAGAATATTAGAAATACAACTTGAAACTAGTCATACAATTACTATTAACATTCCAACAAGGAATCGACGCAAAATCATCCACTTGATCTACAAATCTTCTCCACCATCGCAGAATAATGTTTTCAAAATTGGTCTACAATATTGAAGGAATAAATTATTAACCATGGGAAACCTGAAAACACTGGATGGCCGTTTCGTCTTGGTATGGAACTCCTCAGCAGTGAGCAACCACGATGCCGCCCTCCCCCCGCGAGATTGAAGCCCAGGACATATCAATCTCGTCCGCGAACGCCTAACCATTAGACCAATGAGCCGGCCGGCATTCAACGGTGTTAATAGCTAACTTCAACCAATCCACAAAATTGCGCCACAATTGTCTTCAGTGAACTGATACCTCACAACAGACCAGGTTGAACTCCACTGGTCACGGCTTCTCACTAAAACTCCAGGAAATGCCCCTTGAAGTCAGTCATGAGGGGGGCGGGATCGTGGGTGCACACTGCTGAGAAGTTCCATACTGGGACGAAACAGCCGTTCAGTACTTCCAGGTTTTCCATGATGGTCTAGCTTCAATTGACTCATGATTTCAAATATTGAAATTACTAAAATCTCCACAAAACCTCCTCTGGTAAAAAAAATTGTCGGATTCGTGAAAATTTTACAAAACAAACATAATTTTCCTATGTAAAACATTCTGTTTCTGATTACAGAATCACAGTCTAATTTTTTAAAATTTTTAATTGAAGGATTTAAAAACGAGAAAAATATTTCCATTCATGCTTAGATATTGAGTTTATATAATTTAACATTGTGTAATTTAAAAGAAATAATTATGCAAACATCATCTTGTCTACATAATCACTGGAACAAGTTTCTAAGTTGGGAAGAAAAAAATACACATTCTAGAAACAGTTTTTTTTAATTTTTTTTCGTTTTTTGAAACAACTAGGAAAAATAGTTTGAATATTGTAAGAATGTTATAAATCATTCTTAAACTTAATAGAGATCATGAACTGATCAACATTAGAACATCAGTGAAAACATTGGAGTGCTGGATGAATGTTTCGTTTTAGTATTGGACTCAATTCAACAGTCTCCACAGGTCTCAAATAATCAGTATAGGGATTTTTGGATTTGCGCACAAGGCCAAAGGTTTAGAGTTTGAGTTTTGAGTGCGGGATTGTGAATGCGCACTGCTGAGATGTCCTATACTAAGATGAAACAGTCGAACAGTGCTTCCAAGTTTTTAATTGTGGTTTAACATCAATCGGTTTATGATCATAATTAAAACTCAACAATCTCCACAATCATATACTGATAACTATTACGAGCTCACTAGTGACTAGCTTCGAGAGGTAATTCTCAGAGTTCTAGTGAGAAGCTGTGACCAGTGGATTTCTACTGTGTCAGATGTGAGGCAGTTACCCAACGACAACAATGTAAGATGGCCACGCAATACCATGAATTGGTTGAAGTTAGACATTAACACTGTTGGATGATAGCTCAGTGGTCTAGAGGTTAAGTGTTTGCGTGGGAGATTATGAATATGCACTGCCCGACCTTCTAGTGCTTTCATTTATTTATTAGTGGTCTAACATCGATCAGTTTATGATCTTAATCAAAACTCTTTTATCAGAATGGGTTTTGTGGAGATTTTCAGAAATTTCACAGGTTGAAATCATGAGTCAATTGAAGCTAGACAACCATGGAAAACCTGGAAGCACTGGACGGCCGTTTCATCCTAGTATGGAACTCCTCAGCAGTGCGCATCCACGATCCCGCACCCCGCGAGATCCGAACCCAGGACGTACTGGTTTAGCGCGCGAGCTTTTAACCAACTAGACCACTGAGCCGGCCGGCATCCAGCGGTGTTAATGTCTGACTTCCAGGTTATTCATGATGGTCTAGGTTCAATTGACTCATGATTTCGACCTGTGAAAACTCTTTTATCATTTTATATATTTATCTTATCAGCTCGTATTTAATCAACTCGTCTAGTTGACAGATATATTTTTCGAATAAATAAAAGTTTCATAGATATTTAGTGGTAATTCTGAGGATTGAATATTTGTTAAAAACAATATTGTCATCTGCTACAACTATACTTGACCTTATTCGATTGTTATGATAAATGCTTAAACTTTTCTTTGAATAGCCTATAAAGTAATTCATTTACTTACATCACCAATAATTTTAATAAAGTTATATCCGTTGAAATGTATTCCCTATTCTGTTTATTGTAGAAGTGTCCACAATGAGTTTCCTCTCTAATAAAATTTATTATGTGTATAAAAATGAAATTTTTTGTAGCAGTGAATTTATATTGGGTTATGTTAAAGTATTCTGAAGTTAACTGAGATGAGAAACTTAAGATTGTCATATTCGAACAGTACGTAAGTGAACGGTAACTGCTAGGATTTATATATGGACTATAGTAGTGAACAAGAACACGGGTTGAGACAATCGAATGTGTTCAACAGAATATTACAGAACTTGTTAATAAAATCTAACAATCATAGAATAAATGCTTAATTTGCAAACTGTCCATCGATTGTCTCAAAATGACTCGGACTTTATTGTTGTTTCATTTTCATACAAATTGCATTTTGTTTCCATTCTTTACCGTCCGATCCTCTAGTCTCTCTGTTGCCAGACCTTCTCTTTACAACTAACACCATCTACTACTTATGTCAATATACGTAGCACACACCATACCATTATTACATATGTTCTTATTGTAAAATCTATTAAGTAACTAGATTATATATATTTATATTTTTTACTACAAGCATCCATTTAACCTATTGGCTACTATTATACGATTTATTATTCTTAAGTCATTCCCAGTTTCTAACATCCAAAGCCACTTTTGGCCTGATCTTGTATAATTGCTATTTTCTATTTTATGAAAGGATGCGGTCTGATTTCTCTGTATATAAACTGCGTAAGTCTGAAAAACATGATTTATACAGTGGAAGCTGATATTGTGTTCTGGGCACAAACAGGTAAGGTTAGGTGAGAAAAACCAATAAGGACTTAAAGTCGACTCTAAGCTGTTCGTCCTGGTTGACGCGTCATCGATTTGGCACAGGTTCAAGGTCGTATAAGTCAGTGTTATGACTGATAATGTGTCAGATGATAATTGACAGGGTCATTGGGACAACTTTTGAGGTTATTTATTATTAGCAGATATAGATGGTGGTAGCAGTGAAATCCGGGATGCGTACTTTATCCTATTTTGGGATTGGTTAACCGGATATGCTTGATTTCACCTAGGGCAGTGTCGAAGTAATCCGCATAGAATGCACATATACCGGTGAGAGACTGATGGATTACAGTTTTCAATATCAATGAGTAGATTCGAACAACCAATACAAAAATGACTTACAATTCATTATTATTTAAAGTTTGATAAAATATCCTTTGAATACTCTTAGTAAGGCTTAGAAATATCGATTTCTTTTGAAAATATTTAATAGTATTTAAGATCGTAGAGAAAAAAGTGTTGTGCACGATATCTGAAATTTCTCCCTTGTTTTTCTCTTATCTACTAATTGAAAATATGGTGAGACTAGAATTCATGGACGATCTTGAGCGAGTTTGTGAAATATTAGTCAATTAAAAAACAGTTAGTATAAAGTAAAATATTTTACAAAACCAAATAATTAAAGTGCACACACTTCTTCTACATGGTTCAAAATCTTGTCTAGGTTAGAAATAGGTTCAGAGGTTCTAAAATCATAATACATACGGTTGAGGAAATCATCCATATGGCTTCATAATAGTCGGCCTCTGGCGCTATAATAAAGTGGTAAAGAGTCTTTCAGCCTCGACCACATAGCTTTAATATTGTTTAGTTGTTCAGTTCACAAAATGCCGCTTGCGGATAGCGACACGGTGCACATAACCAAGTCTATATGGACATCTGTACGCTCGCCAATCATCTGTATGTATTGTAGTACCCCGGTGTAATTATAGTAAACAAGAAGACTAGTGGGGACAATCGAATGTATTTAACACAATATTACAGAACTTGTTAATAAAATCTAACAATCATAGAATAAATGCTTTATTTGCAAACCGTCCATCGATTGTCTCAAAATGACTCAGACTTTATTGTTGTTTCATTTTCATACAAATTGCATTTTGTTTCCATTCTTTACCGTACGATCCTCTAGTCTCTCTGCTGCCAGACCTTCTCTTTACGACTAACACCATCTACTATTTATGTCAATATAAGTAGCACACACCACATAACCAGTGTTACTGGTGCTTTTATTATCCAGTTCACAACAATTATTATAGTATGCCTTAGTCTCAATCGTATTCTAGCAGACGTCTGGAGCTATGATAAGGTGGTTAAGACTCTTTCAGCCTCGATCACATAGCTTTAATATTGTTTGGTTGTTGGATTCACACGATGCATATAATCAAGTCTATATAGACATCTATACGCTCGCCAATCATCTGTATATATTGTAGTACCCGAGTGTAGCCAGTGTTACTGATGCTTTTATTATCCAGTTCACAGCAATTATTATAATATGCCTTAGTCTTAATCTAGATCGAGAAAAAATTCGTATTTCAGAAGACTGTTTCCTCCAATACATATTACATCGAAAGAAGACATTATTAAAGTAGCCTGCACAATATTCACAAGTCATTTGATTATCACAATCACAAATATAAAGGAACTTCCTAATAATCCCATTTGTTGTAGCTAGTCAATTATCACGTTTTCTCTAAAAATCCATTATGAACCAATCGTACATAAGCAACAAGTACTGAAATTGACGCCATGACCTAATTGGCTCGTCTATAAATTATAATCTCACTCTTTTGATCAACATCAAACTATACAGTTGAGTTTTCTTTTTTTTTTTGTGGATCTTTCAAAATATTTATTGAAATTTAATAATATTTACAAATTAATATATATAGAATGGAATGTAAGTAAATCATAATAGAAATTACATAATTCTCTGTGAAATGAATAGATAGATTATCTGTTACTAGGCTTATTATAAAAAATAGTTTAAAATGATCATGGATAAATATATTTTTATAAACAACCATTTAATGTTGTATAAATAAGTGATGTTACTGATAATGGACTGATGTAATTTACAATTGGAACCAGTATTACTATACATATAATTTATATCTTTTGATCTTAGTCCATTTAAATGAATTGAAGCTTTTGATATATCTATAATAGAGAGTAAGAATAGAATATAAAACATCAAAACAAATGATATTACAAAACTAAATTCATTGAATACATGATCAAAATAAACATGATTGAAAGTGGGGTAACACTAATGCGATGAATAATATGTCAATTCAAAGGATCAATTTGTTACACATGATAACATGGAAACAAATTTATTCTGTATTATCATTATTCTAGTTAACGTTTATTTTAGTAAGGTTGTTTTCTACTGGATAGAATTGTTGATTTTATGCTTAACTCTCCGGGCTTGAGAACGACATTAATCCTAGAAGAGCTATAGGCGGTTTAATTTTATGACAGATAGTGAAAATTTATTGTATGTAATGATTAATAAACTAATTAAAGGTTCAAAGTCACCAACAACACCTACTTTGGACACATTTCTAATTTCAACAGTTGAGATCATGAGTCAATTGAAGCAAGTCTACCATTGAAAACCTGAACGCAATGAACGGCCGTTTCCTCCCATTGTGGGACTCCTCAGTAGTGCGCAACCACGATCCCGCTAGCGGTATTTGAACCCAGGACCTATCAGTCTCGCGCCAGGCGCTTAACTAACTAAACCACTGAGCCGGTCGGCATCCAACGGTGTTAATGTCTAACTTCAACTAATCCACGAAATTGAGCGACACATCCACCATTGTCATAAGTGAGTTACTACCTGACAACTGACCCGGTTGAACTCCACTGGTTACTGCTTCTCACTAGAACTCCCGGATATTTCTCTTGACGTCAGTCACTAGTGAGCATATGTTGATTAGTATCAGAAGGGGTTTTGTGGAGATTGTAGTAATTTCAACAGTTGAGATCATGAGTCAATTGAAGCTAGACCACCATGGAAAACCCGCGAAACGGGGTCGTGGATGCGCACTGCTGAGGAGTCCCACAATGGGACGAAACGGCCGTCCATTGCTTCCAGGTTTTCCATGGTGGCCTAGCTTCAATTGACTTATGATCTCAACTGTTGAAATCACTACAATCTCCACAAAACCCCTTCTGATACAATTTTAATTCTCACTAGTTAAGAACGATTGCTTTAGAAATAAGAGGGAATTCTAGATTGTTTTTATGAAACTATACTTAAAATAGTGTGTTCATTATCAATTCTAGTTATTCAAAACAGTTTAGTAAGCTATTCAATCCTTAAAATCTAAATTGGCAAGCGATATAGTGAACAAGGATTTAAATTGATTTTAGAGTACTTACTGATAGCTAATATTGATTTCTTTTTCCAATAATTGATAAGATTCAATCACATTTTAAGAAGGAATAATCATTTAGATATATCTGATAGTTATAGGTGGTTAATGTTTAATAACAGTTGCTTAGTAAATAATTTATTAATTCATATGAATTAATATTCAGTTCAATTAATAATAATTATGACTTTTATTCGGTGTAAATTTAGTGCAATCAGACATTGACTTTGACCCATTTCGGTTGTCAGCTAAATCCCTATCTAATGTTTATATGTTCTTACTTGGATCTTTTGTGTCAACATTCAAGTTACATATATATGGACATAATTATGTTGGCAGTTATTTCAATGACAGTTCATGCTTTGGAGGGTCAAAATGTTATCATTTTTATATTAATCTTCCATGTTCCTACTTCATGCAGTGAAAATTACATTGATGACTAACTTCAAGTATTTAGCGGTAGGTCCTAGAACACAACAAAATCATGAGTATAAACAGCGACGGGGAATACGTTTTAGGAACATAACTTATAAATGTATAGCTTTAATGTAACACTATAAACATGTAAATATATATGACGAAATACATCAATAGTAGCTTATAAGAAAGACGTTTCCTCAATTTTAATAAGTCACCAAACAGTATTTTATAAATATATCTGAGAGCAAAGTGTTTTTTATGTCTAGTTGACCACTAAAATGTTTGACGAATTTTGTAGTATTCTCTGAAATAACAATTACCTGGTTGTTACTTTGTGAGACATCTATTTTTACACCCTACGTAGACATTCGGTAAAAACACAGATTGAGTTATAATTCCTTGAGTATTTTAGGTACATGATATATTTTGTAATACATTTTACTATGGGGAACTGCTTTGCATCACGACAAGTAGTCAACTGAAGTCATAAGGAAAAAACAACGAAAGTATACTAACTAACGTGTTGAAGTAATGTTCTTACTAATAGCAATATTTCTCAATGGCTTCAATAAAAAAGTTGGTATATGGATACTGATGAATCTACTACTGACAAGGTATTCGAAATTGATTCACTAGTTTATATGTTAGCCTGGTATTTCATATGATCACTGAATGAAATGTTCTCTATAAAACTCATATCCTAACTCTTCTGTGACTATATTCTCGAAAACGATTTGACATGTTTTTGAGAAGCAGATGGGGGAATCAAACCTTTTTGGAGACGAAACCGTCATTATCGACTGTAACGGATGAATACTGTACAGTAATATGAATCGTGTTAGGTTCAAGTTTTCATCAATGAACGCGTAAATGCTGTATCAAATACCATGAAATTTAATAGACTTATTTATCAACAAACATACCAATAATTTCTACTTCTATTCTTCCAAACATTATTCTTGAAGTGGGTAATAACGGAGATGTTGAAGACAAAGGCCGATTCTTTGAAACAGATGAAACCGGTAAACGATTTTGAATTCTATCCTTTGATAATAAGCTTTTATGTATTGGATTTAAATGAATCATATGTGAAGAATCATGTTCAGTGTTATTTTCACTTGGTTTGTACCGTTCTAAACATATCCATTGTCCAGTATCCGATTCACTTGCCCACTTTATAAATAAACGACTCTCAAGCGTTTTCGGATCTAACCATTTTTGTTCTATGTACACACCACCAGATTTAAATGGGTCCGAGGACTTTCGAACACCATGATGATACCATTCTAAAAGTATTTCGTAACCGGATGCTCGAACATCAATTGAAAACTTTGCATAACATTTTAATTCCAACGGACTGCCGTAGTAGACTACACGTGGTCCAGTGACAGTAAGTGCTGAGTAAAACGATATGTATGACAGCACAAAATACATTTTACGTAAATGGCGAATGCATTTATGAATAGAAATGCTATTAATATAAGTAAATGTACAGATATAATAAATCGTCTATTACTACACCATTATCCTAGACTAAATGATAGTTACTTACGAATATCATATTTTATTGACTGTATTTCCAAAAAAATTTATACTTTGATAACTATGGTTGCAATACATACATACGGTACGGGATACTGATACCGTATTTGTATTGAGCGGCCTTTTTGAGTTTAAATTCAAGCTAATAACGGACATTAACTGTGACCTCATAATTGATTTTTTTTCAACATTTGTCAACAGCGGAATCCACTAAAACAATATTTGATAATTTATTTTCATAAAATTATATCACAAGCCGACATATGCATCGTTCTCTTCGTTTTTATGTATATTATAACTAACGTCCATGATTGTAATCATCTAATCTGATAAGAATACACCCTAGAGCTCACAGAAATTGTATTTGGCATATTGTATCTTTTAAATGTAAAGATAACGTCAATATTCTGTCTTCACGAAAACCAAATAATTCAATTTTCCTTTGAAACTGAATATATACTTAGACGTATGATTAAATTCTATAAGTCAGCAAAGCGTGGTGCTGAAAAGCAGAACTGATAAGTAAGGAATTATTCCCTTACTTCAATGACTTTCATTTATCTATTAGTAAACTTTTAGTAGCCCTGGATCTAATGCCAGTTGGATCGTACACTGATTGTTATTGAAATACATATGTCGGCTATCCTCGTATGTAATAATATACTTAATCCGTGTTAGTGAATAACGGAAAAACGAGAAGAGATGTTTGAATATGTATGTTTTGTACACTCGTTGATCGGAACAGATAGTTAGAGGATTGCAGCGAACGCAGAGAAGAAGAGAGAGAGCAAAGCGTAACAAAAGAATGCGCAGTGGAGAAGGCGTGTGAGGCAACTTCATATGATTGAGCGTCATTCAATATTTATAGTCACAAAAAATAAGTTACAAACATGTGATGAATAGGATAAGAAGTGTACACACATATACGCTCATATAAAAAGAGCCAGTGTTTATAAATGAATAATTAACAAGGTCAAAACGTGACTCAATTAGAATGAATAAATTGTCCTGTCTAGAAGCTAGGATAAGTTATATGCGCTTGAGCAACCGACACTGCAAGCTTGAATATCATTAAACGCACGGTCATTTCTTTTTCATATCAACGAATCTACTAATACAAATAATCTACTATTACAATATTAAATTATTTAACCGTTTTATTTAAATGAAGTTTAATAACATAACATTTTAACTCAGAGTGAACATCAACTCTTAGATGCAGGTACATCCAGCTGACAAGTTTTGAATAGGACGAAACGCGCGTCCTATATTCCAGTGCTAGCCATTATCCTTCTTTGCATATAATGTTTGTGACTTAAGGCCATATCGAAGCAATACGCACAGTATGCACATATGCCAATATAAGACTGATCAATTGTAGTCCCAAACATCAATGGGAAGATTCAAAAAAACAATATCAAGTGAATCTTAACCAGAACAGTTATGAGTAGATGTAAAATAATAAACCGGATATTATGTAATTGAAATCAACTTACTTCTATTTTTAAAAATAAAATTATCAGATACAACAGTAATATTTGCTTGTTTGGCTTCATTTGATCGTGGTTCCACTTTTAATTAGTTAGAAACATAAAAAAAGAAATAATATTGACATGTATTTCATGATAATACAATTAGTAATAAACATGATTATTCAGTATTATGGAAATATTAGATATAATGCAAGTGAATGAATTACTGCAACTTGTACTGTTATAACTTGTGGCTTTGGATCCTATTAATATATAATGTAATGATACTGTCAATTAGAGAACAATGATTTATCTACCGGACCAATGATGCAATAAACTCGTACGAGCAGTCTGGAGTCTTTATCAGTCCTTCCTTCAGCCTAGTCCTGCCTGTTAATTCCAGAACACAAATCTAAGCCACTGCAATATGAATCATATATTTCAAACATATTGGGTTTATGTACAAACCAAACAGACCACATCGTACCATAAAATGGTAAATAACATTTGTACGAGATCTAGCCAAAGGTAGCTGTGAATGTGAGAGACTGGGCATAACTTAAGAACAATAAGTCATATAATGATAGTCTATGAGTCAAAATAAAGCTTATAATAAGAAGAACATGAATATGCATAGTTTAGTTACTGAACAATTATACAATAAAAATGTATGTATAGTGTTAGTCCAGAAATGGATTCCAACCATTACCATTCGTTATTCACATCGGGATATAACAGTACAGAAACATCTTTGTCAAGATAAGTCATAAGATGTTATTATAATTTTGGTAAACTAGTGTAAATAAGTAAGATGTTATGATTCTGTATCTCTGAAACCTTCTTCAACTGTCTACTTACAATATCAATCATACTTAATGGTAGTACATAATTGATAGTTAATGATTAATCAACATATTTATTAACAGTCAACATTACAGTCTAATTAGAAACAATGAAATGAATTCGGATTCATCGTTAAATGAATGTAACTAAATGTTTATACTAATTTCAGGTATAAATGATAACATTATGCTATTAAAAATCTATTCAAAAATACCATTATCAGTGAGATGTTATGCAGTCGTATTGAGTCGATAAAAATACCCAGACTAACGCCTAAAGCTTCACAGCACTTGTTAGTAAAGCGCACCTGAAAATTTTTGACGAACTGATCCTCTCTGAAAGATCAGAAATAGAATCACTCAGTTTCACACTCTATGACGTTATTTCGCAACTAGGGTCAAGGTTGGCGACCTGAAGAACTGAGATGTTTATAATTGGTTAATCATTGAGTATTGACAAGAATTTATATAATCCCTTCAGTGCTCAATAAATCTCTTAAAATATTATAGCTCAGCAACAAAAGAATGTTTCAAGTAACACAGTAAAACAAATTTCTGAAATATCGACTAGTTTTATATCTTTTATTACTATATACAAATCAGAAGTACAATTATCATCGTGGCAAATTTCTTCCATTCTGAAAATGTTAGAGTCAATGATGTTATTGAGATTTTGAACATAATATGGTACCATTGTAGTGAACAAAACACGGATGGGGACAATCGAATGTATTCAACACAAAATTACAGAGCATCTCAATAAAATCGGAGAATCATATATTAAATCATTAATTCGCAAAATGTCCACCAATTGTCTCAAAATGCCTCAGACTTTATTGTTCTTGAATTTCCATACAAATTGCATTCTATTCCCATTCTTGCTTTCTTGATCTTCCCCCATCTTCTGCTGCCAGACATTACATTCCTGACTCACGCCATATACTACTTATATCAATATAAGTAGCACGCACCACACTATCATTAATTTGTGACTGTTGATTATTCATAAGTCATACTACAAGGAATTTCATTTAACCATAGTTTTGAATAATAAAAACTGGATTTTTTCTAGGTTACATGATGATAAAATGTCATACAAAAAATTGGAGGTTAATTAAAAGACCCAATATGTCATAGTGTTAATCTGAACTCATATTACTGCCCCTTCATGATATATATATATGTGATAGTTCATTAAGACTATTTATAATGTATATGAATTAAAGCAATGTGTAGGTAATCCGCATAGGATATACCTATGTTATTAAGATACTAATCAATTGCAGTCCTGAACATCAATCGGAAGATTCAAACAACCGATATAAAATTGAATTAAACTTCATTCCATTATGTAAGCTAGTAGCTATCTGAACTCAATAACTAAGTAGATAATACGATGGTATTGAAAGCGAACGGTACTGGGTTCGATTCCTGGAGTAAACATCAACTTTGAGATGAAAGTACATCTAGCTGATGAATCCTAAAATAGAATGAAACGTACGTTCTAGATTTCATTCATCACTGTTTATAACTGACAACAACAACAACTCATCGAATTTAAAACATTTCATTAAACTTTCTTCTTGAGTAATATTAAAACATAAGTTTTCAATATCTATTATGAATCACGTGAAATTACAATATACTATAAGATTTACTTACCTACAGATATATAATAATCAGGATTATTCATTTGTTTAATAGCCAATGTTATATTCATATTCGTTTGATTTATTATCTGATCATTATTGTTTTGTACATTAGAATTATCCTTTATAATATTATCTTCTTTATGGATAGATTTAATCGTACAAGTATATAAGCCACTATCAGTTAATTTAGCTTTAATTATTCGTAATATCCATTTATTTGATGATTTTTGTTTAATACTAATTCGTTTATCTGGAATAAATCTATGATTACCTATTGTAAGTGGATATTCTTCACCAATTTTATTCCACATTATCTAAGAATAATAATTCAGAAAAGAAGATAATGACATTATGTTGTTTACAAAGGATGTAATATTCAAGATAAATGGTCTATAGGTTTACAATAGATTTACTCAACAAGTGTAAACAACTTTGTTCTTTTTTTATGTATTTTAACACATAGATATTGGTACAAGGAGGCACCAAATACATATGCGTCACACAGATCTAATTTGTTATGTGTGAGGACCGTGATACTGCCCGGGTGCCCAAACCGAAGCAGGTGGTTTTCTTAGGGGGCCACACCCAGAGCCTTCGACCTGAAGGTCGAACAACAATTGGTTTCTACGCCATTTGTTCCTTCAGGATACTGAAGCCCATGTGCACCATTGGTTTGGAATCAGGGTTTTCCAACTCTCCTACGTGGCCTCTCCATGTCCACCAACCCGGTTAAAGCGTTCGTTCTTCGTCCTCTCAATTTCGTAAACAATACCCCCGCCACGATAAGGCAGTGAGTAGGACTTCCCTGGCAGAGGCTATATACGCGTGACCACGTGAGAGCATTTCGAAGAATGACAATTTAATGTGTACAACTTTATATTGTCTCTTAAGAATTAATAGATTTCTGATAGTAATTAGTTTTATCTTAACATCCTAATAAATCAATTTCCCGTAAATCGCTTATTTTAAATGCTAGATAACATTTTTTAAACGAGCTTACTAATCTGTTTTTGTTTTCAGGTTCTTTTTTAAATCAACATAGGAATTTGTGAAAATTGAAGTATTTTCACATCTGAATTCACGAGTCGATTCAAGCTAGATTATTATTGAAAATCTGGGGACACTAGATGTTTATTTCGTTCTAGTATGAGACTCTTCGGCAGTGCCCATCCATAATCCCTCACAAAGGACTCTAACTCAAAGCTTTCGGTTACACTTGCAAACGTTTAAACTCAACCCATAAATTGGCATCAAACGTGTTAATGTCTTACTTCAATCGGTCAATGATGAAGTACAACCCTCCATTCATTGTCTGAGGTAGATAACTATCCCACACCTGACATGAATTGGATTCCATTGGTTATGGCTTCTCATTAGAACTCCAGGAGCTACATCTTAAAGCTAGTCACTAGTAGTCACATGATTATTATCTGTATGGGGATTTGTGAAGATTGTAACATTTTAAAAGATGAATTCATGGGTCGATCTACTCTACAACACCATTGTGAAACTAAAAGTACTGGACATCCGTTTCATCCTAGTATGGTACTCCTACTCTTTTTTTATAGTTTTAAAGTACTTTAAAAATTATGTAAAAACGTCTTTGAAGAATATGGAAATATGTGAACATGCTAATATTTTCCATGAATATACTGATTTCCTTAAAAGAAATGATCTCTCAAATGTTGTTGTTGTTTATGATAATGATGATGATGATGATGGTAGGCTCATTTTATAAATCAAACTTTCTTTTTCTTTCATTCAATTTGTTTTCCTTAGTGGAGTTGAAAATATGTAAATTTGTTATTTGTTCCCTAATATCTTTATGAAAGAATTACACCAGTTAAGATCAAATCAGTCATAATTTTATGTTACAATCGTTGTTCTCACTTGGTTTAAACTTTTAAATGAGAAAGCCTAGTTTCTAAGATACTTTGTGATATGAAATGTATTGAAGAGATTTATTCTTTCAGAAATAACTTTAATCTTTAGTCATTAATGGGTTGTCTACTTTATTGAACTAAAGTAGACGGAATATGGTTAAAAACGTATGTGGGTTTTTGTCAGTAAAACTTGATTTCACCTTTTCCTGATGAAAGATTAATAGAACATGCTTTATCTGAACCAGACAACATTGTGAATTGTGGACGAATAAAAATGATTTTCTTAACATTTAATATATAGAATTTTCTTAAAGCCATGATTCTCCAACATATTCTGCCCTGGGATTTATAACTTTGCTTGAAGCCTTTCTAGGTTTACTGTCGGTGTCGGAAATCTGAGAAGGTCTAGGCATAGGATGGCGATCTCATACCATAGAACAAAAACTTACAAAGAGACGCCAACAAGTGAAAAACTATTTTTTAACCTTTATAAACTCATATAATTTCCTATTGATTTGCCTCTTCACTGTCAAGTTGATCAAAGATATAACTGGGCGTATGCTAAATGCCAGATAGACCATTTCTAATATAAACATATAATTGAAAATACTATCTTATATAGTGTTTAGTAACCATCTGTATAAATAATTTAGTTTTACATTTATAATGACTTACCACATGAGATCCTTCGGGTATGATACAACGCATTCGAATAGTTTCTCCAACAAAATATTTAACAAATCGTAAATTTGTATTAGAATCCAGATTTATGTCAACTTGTTTTTTACTTAAATTAGATAAGATTGTATTAACAGGTGAATATAATTCATTATATGGTTCATTTACTGGAAAATTAGTTTCGAAACTATCATTGAGTTGTTCTATTTCATTGTTTGGAAAATCGTTCAATTTCTCTTCAAAATCTGTTAAAAAAAGTCAACGGATGAAAGTTCTTGTTGTGTTTATTTGAAATAAACGAACATCCTTGATTACTGGTTAGTAATCATTATCATACTGACTTCACCTTTTATGATAATAAAGTCCTATTGAACACGTTATTTTGTAATCACTAATCTATGTGAGTTGATATTGAAGACTTCAGAGAGTTGGAGGCAAATGATAAAGAACTATGATACCTAGGTTTTATGTTATGCAATAGTCTTCATTAAGGTAATTTTAGGAAAGGTTTGGAGCTGGAAGTCCATAGTTTCACAATAAGTGACATTAAAAATGAAAAGCTGATAATTAAACAATAACCAAACATCTCTCTAATTATCAAGGATAGAAGTATATGTGCAAACTAAAAATGCCTTATGTTAATGAATAATAATCACTAAATATTCTAGCAAAGTCAATGAAAACATTTACTAAGTGGAAAATAATGTAATTATAAATTGCCTTAATGTTTAAACTATGATAAAGGACTGTTACTAAATAAAATGGCACAAGGTAGGAGGTTACATGAAGGATTATGTTTACTAGGTTGGATAGCTAGCTGGTTTGCTAGAAGAAAAAATTTATGTAGGTGAACGAGAATTACCAGAGCGTTAGTGTCACATCAGAGCACAACAAAATATGGGAAATAAATGAAGATTAAGTTCTCAAATTATTATATCAGACGGAAGTAGGACGCTGTGTCTCGCAGTTGAATATCTTATGCAAACAATTGCATCTTTCTTAACATAGGGGGAAGTCGTCTATTGATGATTCTGTATCCTAACCCTAAAATCATAATGAAATATTGTGTCGATCTCCCTTACCAAACATTTGGATCGCGGTTTATAGTAATCTTTCTGGTAATAATCCAAATTTAATGTGACTTGGAGACTAAGGGTCTAAAGGAATACGTAAGCTTTTATTAGCCAGAGGGTTTTTATACTTAGTAAAAAGAAGACTCAGTGTTAGGCACTCGGCAAAGTTTGCATAAATACATGAAACCCACAAGAATAGGAAGTTTACATTCTATAGTACACACTAAGTCATCGATGTTTAATGCTGAAAGTATACATTACATACACATATGAAATATATGAGTTAAAGATCTATTTATTCCATAGTATACACAATGGCATAAATGATGAAGTTTTTGTTGTATTTCGACATGAACTATCAACATCTATCTTATATTTTCGTCGTTTAAAGATGTCAACTTCTGGAAAATCGAGAACTTGCCAATTCAGTTGTTCTAACATTTTTATGGTTTTCTTGAATTATTGTTACCATAATTTTAGCAAATATTGGGTTGGTTTTTAAATGAAATCTTAAGAATAAAATTTCAACAGTCTGAAAATAATATGGAGCAGTTTTCCTTGATTTCCAGTCTTTTAAGTGTTGATATCAGTATCGGTATTTACTGACTGTATTTGTCATATATTGGTCTTGATTGAGGTATCATAGATAATTAAGAAGCATTGAATAGCTGCCTTACATAATCTGTCTAGATAGCAACGTACTTGTGAAGTCAACTCTAGGGTGCAGATATATGTAGTTGACAAATCCCAAGTGGTAAAAAATGTGCATCCATGATTTCACTGCTTGTCATGTTCCATATATTCTATATCAACTTTTGTCACAACGTAAATATATATATATAGGCACCCAGCATATGATGCGTATATTCCAATTTAGTGTAATCGAAATATTGTTAAAATATAAGCAGCGAACTAATCCAAATAATTGAAAAATGAATTAACTTTGAAACGTTCACTTCGGTATAAACACTATATACATCAGGTTTACACGCTTTTGTTGATAAACTAAAAGGAATTAATAAATTGCTTCACTATCACTGTTCGAAGCGTTTCACTATAAGGGACTGAAAGCCCTGGGTTCGAATCCCGCGAGCGGGATCGTGGATGCGCACCACTGAGGAGTCCCACAATAGGACGAAACGGCCGTCCAGTGCTTCCAGGTTTTCAATGGTGGTCTAACATCAATCGGTTCATGATCCCAATCAAAAACTTAATAATCTCGACAACCCCTATACTGATAAGATATCACGTTTAGTTGATCTCCAGAAAAATTAAAAATTAAATTCAACTAATGTTTATGAAAATTTCTGTAATAATCTATCACTATACTTTACGCTGAATGGTTACATGGAGACATTTTACTCATTATGATAAGACATTCCCTTCGTGTTCAATTCTTCTGCCTTTCACAGAATTATCTTAACGCTGTAAATCATCATGTTAATCATCGTTATATCATCATATTTAACACACTTTTCCATTACTTAATACTTCACAAACAAATTGAAGCTCTTAGATTATACATTTCAGGATTTTAGCGTAAAAAGTCGATTCTACGACTGTAATTGAAGTTTTACTGCAAAAAGACGATGCTAGTTTTATTAAATGAATATGCATATTATATATTATCATCATCATTAGTTGTTATATAACTAATTCGTAACATGGATAATACTAAATTCACGGAATGGTAAAATGCATTTATTCTAGGCCTATTTTCACTACTGATTACTAAAAATAGAAATTCGATTTATATATATTCAGTGTATATTTGTTTGCGAGAAAACAATGATAAACATGATACGAATATTTTTAATTGATACAAGAATTTATTAACAGCTGCCTACGCAAAATACTTCGGATCCGTTGGCCAGACACTATCAGTAACAATCTACTATAGGAGAGAACAAACAAGATCTCACTGGAGGAAGAAATCAGGAAGAAGCACTGGAAGTGGACAGGACACACATTGAGGAAAGCACTCAACCGCGTCAAAAGACAAACCCTCACTTAGAATCCTCAAGGCCAAGGGAGAAGAAGAACACCAAAAAAACACATTACGCCGGGAAATGGAGATGCTCCATTGGGATTAACAGGAGTAGGGAAAATTAGGAAAATCAATTATTTGAAAAATATTAATTTTAGCAAATCTTTTTAGGTGACTGAACTGTTTAATCTTAAAAAAACTTTTAATGACATTGTGTAATGAACAAGAATACAGATGAGATAGTGAATTGTACTTTATTTCCAAATTACAGAATATCTTGGTAAAATATGATAACCGTACATTGAATACTTCATTTCTATTATTAATCCTTTACATTTTGTATAATTCTTCCTTATCTCAATTCTCTTCTATTTTCTTCAACTTGATCTTCTCAGCCTCCTGCTGCCAGAGTGTTCACATCTGATTGATGTTGCGTACTACTTATATCTGTCGACATAAGTAGTTTACATCACAATATAACAATGAAACTATATTATTTATATTATGTTAACATGGTTATATAGTAAGATAATCCTCAAAGTTAAATCCAGTGTAAAAGTATATGAAAACAAGTGAAAACTTTGATCAAAAAACACTACCTAATATGTTAAACTACGTACCAGGACCATGTTTGAAGAGAAACTTGCTCGAATAATATCTTTTTTCGTGAAATAGTTGATTGTAATACAAACTATGTAGATAATAAAAGACTTAATTACTTTGAAAGGACTTTCTTACATGAAGTAATCTTCTGAATGATTCAATTGTCATGAACCGATCAATATTCTTAATAGTTTCCTAATTTTACAAAATATACAATGATATTGTTTTGTTTCCCTTAACAATCTGATCTTTTTTTGAACACATCATCGATATTTAAGACATTGTAATAGAATAGTTAGGATAATGTATCATAAATTATTACTCTGTGAAAAGAATACAGTTTAATAAGATGTATCCAATGCTTAGTAATTCATTTCATAATAGACAGTTACATAGTAATCAGTAGTCTTAATATTTTCTTTAAAAACTATTAATTTTCATAATCTTTTTGTCGTAAGTACTTGAAATTTAGTTGTCATTATGAAATAATGTAGATCGTTAAAATAAATTCTTCTTGTTTCCCTGGGACAAATAGGATTGTATAATAACCAATTAGTAAATACAATGATTAGATAAGCTTCACTTAATATACTGTATTCGTTAGATTAAGTTAGCATACATGTTTGAAGGATGAAACAAAATACAGTAGGATAATAATCCTATAATTTATTTACTTATTTCAAATATGATATCAAAACAATAATAGGAAATGGATTATGAAATTCTTTTTAGTATTCAGTGTATTATTTTTTAAATGATTTCAAATGGTAGATGTCTGATACTGGTTGGTGATCAATGTCATGTATGTCCGATTCTTCTTAGTGCAGATGGAATTCTATCGACCAAGTTGTAATGTGACCACCAGTCTCGGTGGCTTGAAATTGCGTGCACTATGTTGAAATAAGATGTTGGTTAGAAGTAGTCAACAGGAAATTTTGGAACTAGGTTTCGAGCTATTCAGCATTTGTCGTGAAAGTAAATTTCAAGTTATACCAAAAGCATGTAGCCTCTCTACCTAATGAGTTGGACGAAAAACTTTCACCGATACAAATGAAACATGAGATCAGGAGAGAAACTTACACCAAGATAAATGATTTTTGACAATGTTTTTTATTACTGAAACTCTAATAATACAAAATTTATGGGATCCCAACAAGGTGTCTAAGCTCTGTTCATGTCTCAGGTTAAAATTAACAATTTAGGATTTAGAAGAATGAAGTATCTGGCCATTAATAATAGAAGGTTGTTCAGTGAGTGACAAGAACTCAGTTGTTGGTGTCAGTAATGATCATCATTTTACAGTGATTTTAAAGGGAGCTTCCTATTCGAATGCGAACGGTACTGGGTTCGAGTCTCAGAGTGAACATCAACTCTGAGATCCAGTCACATTCAGCTGACGAGTCCCAGATAAGACGAAACGCGCGTCCTGGATTCCACTGCTAGCAACTATCCATGTTTGCTTATAATTCTTGTAAATTAAATCAATTTCGAGGCAATACTCACAGTATGCACATATTCCAATATGAGACTGATCAATTGCAGTCTTAGACATCAATGGAAAGATTCACGTAAAACAATACCA